TTGTGGGGAGGAAGATGCCTCCACTTAGACCCCTGAAGAACATGAGTATCTTTGTAGAGAGACCAGGAGGTGATACAGTGTTATTCAGCTAAGTGCAGACATCCTCCTGAGCTGAGGATATTATAGTAAGCCCTGCCAAATGGCCAAGTGAAACAAGCGACTGAGCAAGGAAAGGTGCAAAGCTTGCCCTCTACCTTGCTGTGTCACCTCTTCCTCCTCCTCCTTTTCCTCTTCCACCACCACACCTGTCCTCTACTTTTTCCTTCTATACGGATTAACTTGCTCACTCAATTTTTTCTTCTTGGATTGGATGCTTAACTTCTGTTCAAAGGGAATAAAAAGCCAGCTGCCACGCTAGCAGGACGTACTGGCCTTGGAGTACCTACTGGGCAGCTGGCTCTTGTGGATTAAAGCTTATAGGAAAGTGGGTGTTCTAAGGGTAAGTCTTCTCAAGGAGAGAGCTGGAAGAGAAGCAAGGAAATGGTACATCTCACTTCACTGTCAGAGGCATCCTAAAGCAGAGCTAGAATTGTAGCTATTGCTTCCCATCCAGATAGTCATCTGAGCACAAAGAACTACCCTTTCACTTACTTAAAGTTCAAGTAATTAACATCAGTGTGATGCAGCTTCTCTGTAGCACATTGATTTATTTATTCAGTTGTTTGGATAATTATAAACTATACTTCATCAATGATCTCAGAGAGGTGAACAATAAATAAGTAAACACAATTATGAAATACAATAACAAAGCAACAGTAAAAGGCACTTTCAAAAATCCCTGCATAATACATGCTGACCAGGGTAAAACATGTGGGTAGGCAAAAGGTTTTTGACCTGGAGCAAACATTATTGCACCAGTCACAGCTCCATGGCAGGAATGCGTCACAGAGAGGGTGCTGCAAGAATCAGCATACAGTGAGTAGAAGGCACCATAGGAGAATGTCCACTGCAGATCTTAAAGCACAGGCAAGCTAGTAAAGGGACTGGCATATTTGGGTCCCAAGCCATTTAGGGCTTTGCAGGTAAATATTTCCCTTAGGACTGATGTAATATGATCCCATCTGGCTGTACCAGTTAACACCCTAATAGCTGCATTCAGCACTAGTTGAATTTTCTGGCTCATATTTAAGGGCAGTTCCATATACAACACATAGTATATGTGGACAGGTTACTAGAGTATGGGCCGCAGTGGCTCAACTGTTCCCTGGCAAACCATCTGAAACTAGTAAAAGGCACTCTGAGATACTAAGGTAATCTGGCCTGCAGTAACAAAATTGGATCCAGGAATAATCCCAAACTACATACTTATTTCAAGGGGAATGTAATCCCTTCTAAAATAGGCTGCACACCCAATTTATGAACATGACAGACACCTCACAGGTCCTCCCTCTTGTTGGCCCCTATCCAGGCCATTACCAAGTCCAGACACAATTTCAGCACATCGGTTGCCAAATCTGCCAGTGGCATCTTTAACCAGGCTGTTTTCCAAAGGCCTTTGATTGCTTTGATGGCTTTGTCTGCTTTCTTGCTTATAAACTGCACTACTTCCTTTTCTCCAGTCCCACCTCATCATCCTCACTCTTCCCTTCTTCATTAAGCTCAAGAATACAGTTTTATGTTCCTGAATCATTATGCAGCAAGATTTCCTTCTATAATTGGCAACCTAATATGATTCTGCAGACAATCCTTGTCTTTTTGGTCTGAACTGTTATATCACAACACTAGCAAAAGGTGTTTTTAGGGAATTGAGCCGCAGATTGTCTATGTTGATGTTGGCAAGACTAGTTCCTTTCTTGCTGCAGTGGAGTGTTCCCCAGGATGAAATTTCTCCTGGAGATTTGTATTTGGTTTGCATATGGGAGCCTGGACTTCCACAAGTAAAATGCAAATTGTCAGCAGCACAGCTAGGTCAGGTCAGGTGCGTCTGTCTGTCCATCCTTTTCATGGGCCAGAAGACCTGGCCAGGCTGTGGGAGACTTGACATGGAGTGCAGAGGGGAGTTGTCTGTTTTGCACTCCTGTTGTGGCAGTATAAAGAAGTTCCCTGGTGAGAGGCAGCTGTGAATGCATGACATTGGGGCCATTGACATAGATAAAGATTGTTGTTATATGCAAGTTTTCTAAACTTGGTTCCTGTGTCTGTTAGAGACCGCTTGACATTCACTTTCCAGCTGTCAGTTTCTGTCAGCTGAGCAAGATGCCTGTCTATCTAAGTCTCTCTTTGGGAATTTCCTCACTCCTTCCAACTCTGTGTCTTAATTGCCCTTGTAAAACAGTGGGTATTTGGCCTTAGAATCAGTAATTCTGCTCCAGTTTCCCTGTGTGTTTTGTCTGTGTTTGAAGACACTACAGCTGTCAGTGTCTTCCACACACAACCCTCTCATGTTTTGCACTGCTTCCATCTTTTTTCAAGTGTGGAATATCTGTTAAATAGAACAAAGATGGAAAAGCTGCACGATGTCTTCTAATTGGTAGTGGTAGAAGCCCTCTATCTGGAAGCATCCCCATAGCATTTAACAATGGCTGCCACTATATAGAACTTATGTTGGTGCTCATGCAGAGATATTAGGGAACATATAAGACATAAAGAGATGTGGATGTCCTCTTGGCCTGCATGAGCTTATGTGCAGTGTATGAAGGGTCAGAGAATGTTTTCTTTCTTGTATTTATCTGAGGCAAAAGATTTATCACTACAATACTTGATGAAGATGCTGATGAGAAAGGCTAACTCAAGCCAGCAGCTTACAGGATTGGTCACCCAGACTTGAGCACTTTGTAGAAAGTTATAGTTGACATGTGTCTGCCAAGCAGGTTTTACTCCCAAAGAAGATGGGGACTGTAGGTGGAGTCTCTTTAGTCTTCTGGAGAACAGGGTGCATATTCTAGTGACCTCAGCTCTGCTTCTGTTGCTCATTCTCTGCCAGCCACGGCACGAGATAGCGATTAGCTGTCTTCATGGCCCCATAATAACCATGTCTGAAATGTTCTGCATGATTAACCTATTAGATACAGTACAGCTCTCAGCATTCTCAAGCTCAGCTTCTGTTTGCTTTCTAGCATCTAGAAAGAAGTTGATGAGAGGAAAAGGAAATAACCTTGGAGGTGTAGACCTTCATATTACACCATTTGGAGATACAAATGCAAGGGCTAGAACAGGAAAGAATGAGTAAGTGATGGAACCTTTCTTGGTTCAGAATAGCCCCCTTTCTTCCTTTGTTTTGGGGCCATGAATGTATATCAGTTATTTCTACAGGTGATAGTGTAGTTGGGAATGCATGAGAAGGATTGGTTAGGGCAGGATGAGGAAGAAAGATGTAGATATTAAAGGTTTTGAGAACAGAGTCTGTTATTAGTTCTTATTTGGTCATGTACTTATTTTTTTTTAATTCACCTTAATTCATGATTGAGAAAACAACAAATCCAGTAAATAACACAGTCATCCTAACACTTGCTTTGCTATTACCTTAAATTACTAAAGAAGTTTAAAAGACTAATTTCCAGAAAAAGGTCACTTCTTCTAGGAGGTACCCCAAAAACTGTGATATTATTGAATCCCAATTTTGGAACATAGTTTTATACATCTCTTCCCTTTTGGATTTGGAAATGGAATTTCAATTTAATAGGAAAAAAACCAAGAAAGGGGTCCAACAAACCTTGCAATGTAATCTAAGAAATATGTTCATGATAAATGTAAGACCATATGCTTTCAAACAACAATTAGGTTGGTACTGCCTCTTCAGTACCTCCCCACACCACCCAGCTAGTGGGGGACTCATTCTCCCAGGCTCTCTCCCCAGCCCCTCATGTATAACACGTTTCTTGTTGATCTCTTCCTTCTTCACATGCACCCAGCATTCTGTCTCTCTTTCTCATCCATCTCCATCTCTCACCTACCACATGCACATTTTCCCATATAAGCATCCATTTCCCTCTTCTGTTTCTCATTTCCTTTCTTCTCTTTCCAGTCTGTCTTCTCTCTCTTCTTTTCCAGTCTATGAAAATCATGTCCTCTTAGTGGGCAAGAGCCCTGCATTGTCTTAGCAGTTTCTTTCAGACATTCTGAGAACAACCTGTGGCCTTGTTGCAATTTGTAGAACATACATTTCCCTTGAAATTCGTGAAGAAATGTGCATGTAGATTTGCTACACACATTAAAATAAATGCCACTCAGGATCCATGTTTGTGCTCCCTGTGTGGAATTGCTACATCATGCTGAACATTTCTTACACAGCTTAATTATAAACAAAGGTAGAGAATGTGGGTGTTTTGATTTTTTTATTTATCTTTTAGTAAAACAAAAAGTTTGCTGAAGTTTCAACACTGACTTCCATGTTCTAAAGTGACATATTGATTATTCCTATCCTAATTTCTTATCCTCTCCTAAAATATCCAAAACTATGCCTTTTCAGTTTATGCTTAAGGTCACTTAATCCAAAATAAATTGTGCCACATAGTTGCATAATAACAAAAGAAAATAAGAATGGCATTCCATCTCTGACTGGGGATTGGAAGAATGATGCACTATTTTCTAACTCTTTAAAAGTTTTCTTTAGAAATTAGAAGGCGTTAACATACTAAGAGATTGGATCCCATGTTATATGAACTTGAATATGTAGTTCTAGCAGATAATATTGTTTCATTTTATCATGCCGACCTCTTGGTCTGATGCTTTTATAGCATCTTTCTCCAACCTAGTGTCCTGCTGATGACTGGGAGTTGCAGTTCAATATTTCTAGAAATTGGAGAAAGCTGAATTGTTTCATTTCTTGGATTGAGAAGGCTCCCATGTCAGTATTGTTTCTTGGGGTATCTATAAATGTAGGAGAACATTATTCTGCTGGTCATAAGAAATGTGGCTTTTTTGGTGTTGTTTTTAATAGAAGCTCTGATGTTTTCTTCAGAGTCACAAGGCTCGTGATGTAGATGTGCAGAAAGAACAGTGACTGACCATTATTTGTTTCTTTCTACTCCTTTCTTTTTCCCCTACCTTCTCCCATGCAGTCTTGGACACACAATATCCAACGGGAAAAGGAGTTTCTACGGAAATTGGTGAAAGCTCGAGTCATCACAGACCTCACCAGTGGAATCTGAGGAGGCACAGCCACTGTGCTGTAGGGCATAGCCGCATGGCATACAGTTAAGGACAAAGGCTTCAAGAGGTCTTTGGCAAGAATGCCAGCTTCCTAGAGAGACCGAGTGCCCTTGGAAAGTCTCCCTGGCTCGCTCTGCCTGCTTGCATCTGGGTTGGCAGGGGAGCAGTGGCTATTGATTGGACTGAGGGGGCAGGTCCCTCACCTGGAACCACAGGTGGTTCTTGTGTCTGGAATGGAACATCATTGGAGAGAACAAAATAGGCCTGTGAAATCAAGTGAAATTGTGCCAAATGGGAACAGAAGCCAGGCCAGAGGCAGCAGCGCTTGAATGTACAACATATTATTTTTTATAAAGAGAGACTTGAGTGTTACACTAAGGATATCAGTGTGCAGTGTGGAGCCTGCCTGACCTGCGCACAGGCCACATGGGACACCTGATCATGTGTTGCACTTAGCTTACCTCTGTGCCAGCCATGGCCCATATGTGGGCTCTTAGTCCGCCCAAGACTTGTCTGTTGTTGGTGCTGCTATAATTTAAAGGTATTATGGCCTCTCTCTGCCCTAGAGAGAGCGACTGAGAGGCTTACTGGATCTTCAGACTCCCTGCTGTTTGTGGGGCAGCCACTGCTGCCAGCATTCACCTGGATGCATTTTCAGCCATTCCTCACAGAGCTCACCTCGTTGTGTTGGGGGCGGTCTACCTGTTTGACAGGTTGACTACAGATCCTGCTAGGAGGTGCCCCTGTGTCAATTTTCTGTGGCATCTGTATCATGGTTTTGAAGAGTTTGGTACTTTGTTTTTTGGAAAGGGAATAATTTATTTTTGGATCAGGTCAGAAATTATCCTAAAATATGAAGATTCATCAGTATTTAGTGGTTAATGGTGCCAGAGATTTTTCACTAATCATATTGTACTCTAGTTTAAGTGACTACTACCTTGATAGTATTTAAGTTAATCTGGAAACAGTGGTAGAAATTACCTGGATGGCAAATACTTTCTTTTTCAACTACCATATATCAGGTGTTTTTCTCAGTCTGTTTTCAGATCCTCCTGCATTCCTTTTAAGGGGACAGAGGATTCTATATTTGTTATTTTTCTGCCCTAAATCTTAGATGCAGTATTTGCACAACTGTGTACCATTTATATTGGAAGGGTTAGAAATATATTGTGCAAAGTGACCAAACTGTGGGGAAAGCAGAACGATATCATCACTTGTCTGCATTCTCAGGGGCTGATCCTCCAGTTGTAAGTATGCATATATTTTGTATCAATGTGAGTCCCAACCATGCGTTTCAATGAATTAGCTTGTCTTTCCTTGAATTAATATGTTCAAATCTGGACCATTTTCCTTATGCAGACATATCTGACGAGTGCTTATCCTGTATATGCCAAGGGCACCACCCTGCAATGTTAATATGCATTTTTTTGCTGAGTTCCCCAAACAGAGTTAGGAGACTGATAACAGGGGCACTGAATTCTCTGTTCCACTAGCAGAGAAGAGATAGCAGCTGAGATGTTCCCATATATGTTTCTCAGAAATGTTCACAAAGGGAATTCTAGAACAATGCAAATGGTAACAGCTCTTGTCCAGTTCCTCTGTTCCTCCACTGACCCTCTTCAGGAGTGCTACTCAAGTTCTGAAACAGGGACCCAGAATGCTGCCATGCCCCCCTTTCAGACTGATGTATTCTGGGTGGTAGCTGAATAGAGCCTAGCAGTGCTTCCCAACTGTGTGCTTTTCCTTATGTATACATCAAAGTGTGTCTGGCCCACAGGGCAGGAGGACTGCTTTTTTCCTTTGCCCTCATCATCTTGTCAAACTTTATCCAAGAAAGAGTGATGAGACTTAGTACATGGTACTGAGCTTGTAATCAGCCTTTCTTTATACCATGTATGGAATTTGCTACCAGGAGGTGTGAAGATGTCTAGTAGGTTAGATAGCTGTAAAAGGAGTTAGACAAATCCAGAGCTATCAATTATTATCAGTCATGATGGCTAAATGGAATATAAGAGGCAAACTGCCACTGAATGCAAACAGCTGGAGAGCAATAGCAGAATTGGACAGTTGGCTTCACAATCTACTTGTAGGCTTTTTGCATTCATCTGGTTGGTTACTGCTGGAAATTCAATGCTGGACTAAATGGACCTTGAGCCTGATCCAGTGTAGTGATCATAGTCTTAATCATGTGACTTTAGTCCCATGTATTTGGAGTCTATTAGTGTCGCATTTGCACAAACTATGTTAACTGGGCATTGACGCAGTCCAGGGCCTCCAGGAGGAGAACAAGCATGGCAGTTGCTGCAAAAGTTAGGAAAGATGTTTGAGCTGCTGCACAAGTCTGAGAAACACCTGGCTTGTCGAGTTGGCCAGGTGGAGCCAAGTGCAGCACCTAGGGGTGTGTGGGGGTGTGTTTGCATTGCACATTTCTCTATATATGTATATTCATCTATTAGGTAGAATTGTGTTCTGTTGTGAAAATGCAAATATTGTGGTGCAACTGACCATAAAAATGCCAGTTAGGGTTCTATATTACAGAAGAATCATTTTCCTGTTTGACAGGTGTAGGAAGATCGCCACTAGGTTAGTTGCTGGGGCTGCTTGACAAGTAGAGGAGAATTGTGAGAGAAGGAGACATACAAGGAAAGCATAGAGCAGAAGAGGGCTAGACAGACCTCTAGGTGGAAGCAAAGTGACACAAACCAGTTGCCAAGTACAGGCTCAGAAACCATTTTCTTTTTTGTTTGTTTTTCTTTTTAGTTTTTTACAGTATAGAAGACACACATTTCAATGAGCTCCTCTAGTTTGTCCAATCTCTTCAAAACACCCTTTGCTAAGTGGGCTTCATGCAAATGAGGACACGTAGAAAGGAGACTTTCAGGATGTGTCACTTGCTGTACAAGATCCCCTTTTCTACACAACATTTAAGGTGCACATCCCTGACTGTTTTTTCTTCTAGCCACCCTAGCTTTTGTTCATGCATGCCATCTCCAGACACTATTGAAGTGCACCTTCCATCATCCCTAACAATGCTGCGTAGGATTGATGGGAGTTTAAGTCCACCAACATCTGAAAGGTCACATGTTGACCATCCTGCAGGAAGAAGGGACAGACACAGAGGAAGCTCCATGCTAGCCAGATTATCCTGTCACCTTTCCCTCTGCTTTCTTCACATGGGAGAAAAAGAAACTTCTGCATGAATAGTTCCTGTGCAGAACCCCACTAATATTGGACTGAAATTTTAGTAGGAGAATAATATGGCCATGACAGCAAGTGCTTTATGTAAAACTCTGCCATCACATATATTATATCTAAACTTTATATATTGGATTTTAAACCCTAGGGCAATGCTCAAAAACACTCAAGCTTTCTCCCCTCTGTGGTTTTAAACCTGGCTGCTTGATCCTTTCCCTGTACTGAGATTTTTGGCCGGCTCCTTGTTCCCTGAATGCTTCTTTGGTTAAGGTGATACTTGCATTTTCACTGCCTTGGATTCTGTTCATTTGACTATACCTCTTTTGTTTGTTTTTCTGCTCCACCAGTCTCTAGGTTTTGTTTTCAGGAATGACACACCTAGTTTGCTAAACATTGAACGACTCAGGTGTGTAAAAATATATACCCATCTACATATTATTTACTCAAATGCTTTAGTCCTTCTTGTCATGAGTTCCAAAGAAGAATGAGAATGGCCTACCTAAAAAGGCATATTTGTCCCCCATATATTTAGCTATATTTCCCTAGGACAGACCAGCTTTGGAATTAGGAGTAAGATAATTTTAACTTCTGTTTTATTGTTCCAACACCTGACTTAGCAGCTTCATAGGAGTTTCTGAAAACAATGTGCATTTCATAGCTGCACAGAACCTGATTGGGAAGTGTGTGGTTATGTGTCCTGATAAACCCAGTGAGAGCATGCATGAGTTGGAGGGTGGGAAGCAGGCCTTATTCACCATAACCGAGTGATGCTGAGTAGTCTCAGTTGACAGTCAAGCCACACGTAAAGCAAGGCTATGACATAAGCTGACCCGGAGTGATGTGCTTCCAGCAGTCAATTCTGTTGTTCCAGTGCAACTTGGAGCTTTGTTGAGCCTGGCTTATTCTGCTCTGGGACTTAGGAAGCAGTTGCTCCAAGTCCTTCCCTAGATGGCTACAGTTGTGCTTTCTCTGAGTGGAAATGGAACTACTGCCATTTTTATGAATGTAAAGATAAAGGCAGAGCTGATAGGACACAGGTGGAACTCTCTCTCTCTCCTGCCAAACTTATTCCACAAAAGCTCTTTTAGTACATCACATGCCTTTCACTGCATGCCCTTTCCATCCCATTTTCCATGTACCTTGGCAGGGTAATCTCAGAAGAGGTGCATTTGTCAGAAAATGATGCTCTCCTATGTCTTCAATATACCTCCCTTCTTGAATTACCATTGCTACCTCTGCCAAAAGAGAAAAACACCCTCTACTTATTTGCAAATCCAATTGTTTATATATAGAAAAGGTAACATTCAGTGTTCACGTGGTTTCATAAATCTTTCTTCACTAAACTTCACAATGATTATGTGGAGTTTGCAATTATTATTCCAGTTTTACCAGAGTTATCACCCAGCTAAAGAAAGCTTAGCTCATTAATCATATGAGTTTTAGTCAGTTAATCAAATTTGCATGAATTTGCAAAGGTCATTATTTTTCTTTTTTAGCTAATGCAGGCATGTGTGCCATGGCAGGATAATCTTAGAAAAGGCATTTCCTCCTATGTGATGAAAAGGTGTGGGGAGGGGGTCTTTGTGAAGATGATGCTTGACAACTCTAATTTTTGATACATTCTTACATTAAAAGTAATACCTAAAAACAAGTGGTAATGGAGTAAAGATTGGATTCTTCAGAACTGGGAATTGAAACAGAGAATTGCCAACAAAAGCAAACTGTACTGTACAGTAAAGGTGATGCAGAAGCAACAGAGAGCATGCACTTCTTGAGTTGCTTCTGCTGCCTCTTGTGTTCCCTCCACTTTGAAGACTGGTGGAGTCTCATGTGGCTTGGACTGGAAGTAGCCACCACTGTGTACTAGCTCCACACAGTTGCTTTCAAGCATTTTTCTATAGAAATTATATTAAACCAGACAACTACTACATTTGATGCCAGATCAGTTTTTGGGACTATTTCCATGTTTGAATCTTAACTTTACACATTGTTTTGTAGGCTTCAGTGGGAATGTGGCAAATCATTTCTAGTATAGCCTTGTTGCTGGCCTGGTGAGCCTGCTGCTCTTAGACTGAATGTGAAAATGTTTCTCTGATTCTACAGAGCCCCTGTAGGAGAGGCTTGTTCACACTATTTACAATCTGCCATCTGCCCTGGGGCCATTCATCCATAAACACTGTCTCTCTATATCATCTTAGGCATGCAACATAGTGGAGGGGGAGCTGGGTCTTTGCTGGCCCATTGTGTAGTGAGAATAAACCAAATTGTAGCAGTCTGTGATGAGGCCCACTCCGTTAATGTGCTTGGAATGAGGTATTGGAACATGACAAGATTATTAAATAGAATAGATTCTATTGTTTGACCTTACCTTGTGATGAGGAAGAACAGGTGGGATGTATGAGCCTCCAAGTCACTCCTGACTTATTCATATCGTGGAAGCAATAAAACTATAAAAGGAACTTTCTGAGTCTCTGTCTCATGTCTCTCTTCCCCAAAGTAGAAAGACAGGTGTATACCTACAAAGTGCTATTTAGGCTGCAACCTGTTCCTATACTCATTTTCCTAGATGCAGCAAACAGCTGCTCTTCCAATCACGCAGAAAAAAGCTTCTAAGGTATAAGGTACTGTTCCTGTGGAAACATGACATTAGGAATACTTGTCCTACTGCATTTTCCCAGAAAAGAACAAACTGATGAATGAAGGCACTCAGTCAACAAAGCAGAGCTTTATGATGTGACCGCTTTTTCAGTTGGGCAACTGTGCACTAGCTAACCTTAGCTAGCCGTAGTTTAAACACTGCAGACCAATCTATATTCTTGGTATAAGGTTCCACTCCTTCACAATAACTCCTAAGAGGCCACCTGAAATAGAGGTACCAAGGCTCCATCTGCATTATGGCCTAGAACAAGCCAATTAAGAAAACATTGGGGTGGAGCAGAACTCTCAGTTTAACTCAGTTAAGGCTCTTTTCCACTCCTGCTCCAAGCTAGCACAGGAATTGTAAGGCCCTCACCTGAACTCATGCTCCATGTGGATACTAAAGCTATGGTTCAGTCTCCCAAATCACTTGCAACTTAAAACTCCATACACCCACACTTTGCCTTGGTCTTTCAGTCCCAGTCAGTATCCACATAGCCTGGAATCCAAACACTGGCAGTGGATGCTGTGGATGGTCCTTCATCTGTTCAGCCTGTATCCCCTGCAACCAGGCAGTTATCCAGTGGAATGATCCACAGAATACTGAATCTCACAGCCCTTGTTCCAGCTTTGTGCTTGCATGAAAAAGGCTCGCTCTCACCCTGTAGCTAGGTGTGTCAGCTCCATGGCGTTTGAGGAAGTTGCAGCTTAACTCTGCAGACCCAGATGGGGCCACAGCTGGGCTCGTAGCCTATTGACTTGAAGGCAATACAAAAGTGATGAGCTTGTTCTAATTTGATATAATCAGAGGGTTAAGTGTTTTTGTTGCCTCTGCCTGCAAATAGCTGGTATCTGTATGCACCCAGCTACCTTATGAGGTACCCATGCCAGAATTACTGTGAAAGACCAAATGCATTCAGCCACTGCAGCCCATTTGTACCTGGGGCATATGAGCCTTTTACAGGTGGAATTATATATGCATACTAGTGTGTAAGACTGTGGCCATATTAGTCATCTGAGAAATCAATGCTAAATTCTTGTTTATTCCAGTTGACTTTGTTGCACACAACAGCTGTTTGTTAAATGCAGAAAAAACTGCATGGCAGGTTTCAAACACAGTGCCAATCAATTTCATATTATCTATTTAGAATTTATAGTTGATGTGAATTTTATTTCACTTGTTTGTTACCGGAGTGGTATGACTCCTTACGGAAATTTCACTCCACTAGGAAGTAACTCTTTAAAGCAAAAACACTGCAAGATTCAAACACCTTAAGAAAGTCAGGGGAGGGGGTAGAGAGACTAGATGCACAAAGAACAGGTATAATTAAGATTCCAAACTGTAAACCAGCTTGAACCTTTGCATTTTTTACTGAACTACAGAAACAATACTGGAGTAGATTGTTGAAAATTCTTCCCTGCTATAAGCCACTTTCTATGTTTCCATTTGGCCCTGTTTATCTATGGTAATAGAAAACCAGCTCAATTCCTAGGCAACTGATGAGGCTTGTATCGGACAAAAGTAGATTCTAGTCCATGAAAGTTTGTTAGTGTTTAAGATGTCACAAGACCTTTTGTTGTTTTTATTGCAACAATTTCCACTTAACTCAGTGTCTTAATGGAATATTGAGGCTTTGTCCACGCTGAATGTTTCCTAATGTGCCACTTGCAATGGAGTAACCAATCACTGTAAATGCAAAAGGCAACCAATGTAACTTATAGAGCAGTAGAATGTTAAGGAAAACCTGTTGTTGTGAAGAACAAAGACACACTAGGGCTAGTGAATATTGAAAGATCTTTACCAGACCTAAAGCTTAACTCAGCAAAAATTTATACCATGCACCTACTGGACCCACAAGGCTTGTTGAAAAAGTACCTACCAGTCTCAGAAAACAGCTGGGCACCATGTGGCAACAGGCACATCACTGGGCCACATGATGTGGGTATGTCCAGTTGTGGCCCCTTTTGGGCTAAACATGATTTGAACTAATTTTGTATTCAACACACCATTAAAAAGCAAGAATGTTTGTGTACACCTTTATTATGTTCCAGTACTGTAGAAACTCTCTGAAAGTAAAGGGAAATAGATCTTAACAGCCCTTCATAATAGCTAAGAAGATGATCCTTCAAAGATAAAAAGAAAAGTTAATTTATAAAATATATAAGACTGGGCAGAAACTTATGAATCTGGAAACTTAAGAAAAAAACATACTATCACTGACAGTTCTGTCCTGACAAAGACATGGTCTTTTGGTCTGCTTATATTGGAATTATATATGTAGTGGAAACACCAAAGCAAAATACAGGTTGACATATGATTGTTTGATGGATCGCTTTTACTTGTTTTTAAATTGCAAGATATGCATTGGTTACTTATGTTTTTGTTGTTGTCTCATAATGTTATGGATCCTATACTGGTTTTGTTTTGTATTTAAATTGAATCATAATAAAAAGCATTTTTTTAACCCTGTATGCATATCTGGATCATCTGTCAAGGCATGCCCCAACTGCATGTTGTGAATAGCACAATACCCATGTGGATCCTCATGTTCTAGGAAGGGCGGTAGCAGGGGTGGATGTGAGAAATCCATGCCTTTGTTGGCTTCTTTCTACATGCCCGTGCTCCTCACTGAGCTGTGGGAGAGACTGCCAGTTATTCCAGAGGCATGAATGGGCATTCCCGACCTATATGAATAGTTTGTTGTTGTTTATAGTTTCCAGAAAATGTTTCACTGTTTTTAATTGAACAGCTATTTCATGAGTGGAGCTGGTTGGAGCCAGGGATCAGACAAGATGCCCAAGAGCCCTCTTCTGACTCACTCTGTTTCTGTTTCTAAAATAGAAGAACCCCTTTCCTAAGTATATGAACGCAAATCAAGGCATATATCAATAGGCTTCCCTTTCTCATGATTTCTTTTCCTCCATTCATCCCAACTCACAACCCTTCCCACAGCTCACTGATGTGTTAAATTCTATATCTTTACAATTATGTATGAAACAATTTACAGTTATCGTTTACACATATATTAACTTGTCTATTCTGGAAAGGTATAAAACTTAAGAAAATATAATAAGAAAAGGAAAGGGAGGTAAGGAGAGGAAAATAAAACAAACATCATGTTGATGAAGTGACAGAGCAAGGGAAAGAAATCTGTCTTCCATGCCTCTCTCAACCCTTGTTTGAAGATCAGGAAATTACATGAGAAGTGGATGAGGGAAATTATATTGTCAGTTATATTCACCTGATGGGCATTATCCAGTAGGAGATTTGATTCCTGTGCAGCCCTCATGAATGTTATGAGAAGAAATAAAAGCAATGAATGCTATGAGAAAAATGCATTTCCACAGTAACTGAACCCTGTGGTTTAAACAACGCAGGGGTTTATAGTTCCTTAAACATACAGATTTATTGACGCATAAAATTTGGTGGGTTATAGCCCACTTTGTCCGGTGGGACCTTTATGGTGAAGTGGACTCTAATTCACCAAATCTTATGTCACAATAAATCTGTTTATCTTAAAGTTCCTACATGAGTTTTCCATTTTTGCTAAAACAGGCTAAAATAGCTACTCCTTACTGTGGCTTGGATACAAATAAAACACAGTGAAAACACTGTATTGTAGAACCATCTCTAGAAAAGAGTGACAAAGTTGTGTTCTTCATTAGTGTCTTTTTATCATGTTGTGAGCTGTCCAGAGTCCTTCCTATTGAGTAGAAAGGTAGGGTATTAATGCATTTAATATGCAATTACCTGAACAATGTATAATGTAAGAATTGGTTAGCAATTTCTGCTGTCCAGCAGTATTCATTGAATATACTGGGCGACACCAGACACAGTCATCTCAAGAGAGATTTTGTATGTTCATCTCCACACATCACTGAAAGTCTCCCTCGGTGTCTCAAAAGAAGCAACCTCACATGAAACATGGGTCTTAAAAGCTGTCCATCATGACGCAATAGCTTCACCATACTGCCATCATAGGGGAGGGTTCAGTCCTTGCAGCCAGCTCACCTTGCTTCTCTTTACACATTCTGTGTGTCTTGCTAAATCTATAGGAAGATGGCACTCATGAGAACATCTGTCTGGTATGATTCTGGGGTGCCTATTCATATACCTGAACCTGCCCTCTAAGCACTTACATAGTTAATGAGACTTTCCAGATGAGATGAGGATGATAATTGGTTTTAGTTGTTTAGATCACTGGGCATAGCATGGCAAGATTCTGGTTATGTAAGAATGCCAGTGTGGTGTAGCAGTTTGGGTGTTGGAGACTCAGGAGAGCCAAGCTCTAGTCTCTACTTGGCCATGAAGCTAATGGGGTGACTTTGTTCCAAGCATGAACTCTCAGCCTAACTCACAGGGTTGTTGTGAGGATAAAATGGAAAGGAAGAAGACCATGTACACCACCTTCATTCCATGCAAGAAGATAAAAGGCAGGATTTGTTATGTGCCATCAAGTCTCCAACTTAAGGTGACCCTATAAGTGAATGACTTTCAAAATGTCCTTGCAGTCCCCCTCAGCTCTTGTAAATTCAAGGTAGTGGCTTTCTTTATGGGGCCAATCCATCTCATATTTGGTCTTCTTCTTTTCTTCTGCCTTCAACATTCCCTAGCATGATTATCTTCTCCAATGAGTCATGAGTTCGCATGATATGCATAAAGGAGGACAACTTCAGTTTTGTCATTTTTGCTCCTAGAGAAAGTTCTGGCTTGATTTGATATAGGACCTACTTATCTGTCTTTCTGCCAGTCCAGGGTATTTGCAAATCTCTCCTCCAGCACCATGTTTTGAACATGTCAATGTTCTTCCTCTCAGCTTTTTTCACAGTTCAGCTTACAAACCAATACTTAGTGTTCGGGAACAATTGTGTGATGATCTTGGTTTTGGCCTCCATTGATACATCCTTACACTTGATGTTTTTTTCCTGATTCCTTCATTGCTGCCCTCCCAAGGCTCAGCCTTCTTTTAATTTCTTGGCTGCAGTCAATTTTTTATTTGTCTTCCACCAGTTTGCAATCCCTCCTTGGATATGAATCCAGATTTCCTTATGTTCTGTGTGCAGATTGAACAGATAGGGAGATAAAATGCATCTTTGCCTGATGCTGTTTCCTGTAGGAAACCATTTGGTTTCTCTATATCGTGCCATAACAATAGCTTCTAATACAGGATGGATACAAGCAAAGCACATACTTGACACAGGTTACGCATCAGGAAAATCAGATGCTGGGGCATCCGCATTTCTTTCAAGACCATCTGTAGTTTCTCATGAGCCACAGTCTATAAAGCACAGATGGATCTTCTGAAATGCTGTTGTGTGCTCCACTAGCCAACATATATTTGCAGTTGAACCAACTTGAATGTCAGGCATTTCTTGCTCTGTATAGGGCAATATACATGCTCTATATAGGGCAATATACATGCTTACGTGCTCATTATTGAGCCTATGCTGTGGCAGTGAGGGTGGCGAAGAAGAAATTCTTCTCCACTTCCATTGCCTCCTGACAGTGCTGTCCACCGGAGCTTTTTCGAGTGGTACATGGGCTGATACATCCTGCCCCCAAAAAAGATCCTGTACCACCATCGATTGCCCGCTGTGACGACTTTGCCCAGCACTTCAAGGAGAAAATTGCTCAGATTCATCACAAGCTGGAATCCACAATTCGGTTCCTTTAGGGGAGACACCAACAACCCCATCTGGTCAAGTATTATTGGATGAATTTCAGTTAATGAAGCCCGATGATGTGGACAAGGAACTTGGACAAGTACGTCCTACCACCTGCTTACTTGACCCTTGCTCTTCGTGGCTGCTGACCAAAGCCAAACACGGGATTGGTTCCTGGATCCTAGAAGTTATTAACGCCTCTCTGAGGGAGGGCCAGGTGCCCGCTCCTTTAAAGGAGGTGGTAATCAGGCCTGTCCTAAAGAAGGCGTCTCTGGATCCAAAGATGGCCGCCAATTAAAGACCAGTGGCCAACATCCTGTTTCTGGGCAAGGTGTTGGAACGGCTGGTGGCGGGACAGCTCCAGGTACTCTTGGATGAAACTGATTATCTGGACCCATTTCAGTCTGGCTTCAGACCCGGTTATGGTACTGAATCTGCCTTGGTCGCCCTGTATAATGACCTGTGCAGGGAGAGAGACAGGGGGAATGCGTCCCTGTTGGTTCTCCTGGACCTCTCAGCAGCTTTCGATACCGTCAACCATGGTATCCTGGATAGGCTGGTGGGATTGGGAGTAGGAGGCAATGCTTGGCTGTGGTTCCACTCCTACCTTGCTGGCTGATTCCAGAAGATGGTGCTGGGGGACTTTGGCCCTCACCGTGGCAACTCCACCAGTATACTGATGACACCCAGCTCTACCTCTCTTTTTCAACTAATCCAGATGAGGCAGTGGCTGGCCTGAACTGGTGCCTGGCCGAGGTAATGGGCAGGATGAGGGCCAATAAACTGAAACGCAATCCAGATAAGACAGAGGTCCTGTTGGTGGGTGATTCAAGCTTCTGGGTAGGTGACTTGGGCCCTGTCCTGGATGGGGTTGCACTCCCTCTAAAGGACAGGGTCCGCAGCTTGGGAGTGCTCCTTGACCCAGAGCTGTCCTTGGAAGCCCAAGTGACGGCGGTGGCGAGGAGCGCTTTCCTTCAGCTTCGGCTAATCTATCAGCTGTGCCCCTACCTGGAGGAGGATTGTCTAGCAACAGTGACACATGCATTAGTTACTTCCCGTTTGGATTACTATAATGCGCTTTACGTGGGGCTGCCCTTGAGGACAGTCTGGATACTTCAGATGGTGCAAAATAGAACTGCCAGGATGCTGTCAGGAACTGGGCATTATTCTTATATAACCCCAGTCCTCTATCAGCTCCATAGGCTTCCCATTGAAGTCCGGGCTCAATTCAAGGTGCTGGTTATTACCTATAAAGCCCTAAACAGCTTGGAACCAGGATAAAGGAACACCTTTTTCCCTATATGCCCTCCCACCCCCCTGAGATCGGCAGCAGAAGCCCTCCTCTGGGAACCCTCTGTGAAAGACATTAGAAGATAGAGTACCTGGAGAAGGGCCTTCTCTGTGGTGGCACCCCGACTGTGGAATGCGCTCCCCAGAGAGGTCCACCTGGCGCCATCATTATATGTTTTTGGGCACCAGGTCAAGACCTTTTTATTCGATCAATATTTTAATATGTATTAATTGGATTTTATTGTTTGTATTTTATTGGATTTTCAGCCAGCGTGGAATAGTTAATTTATTTTATTCTGATTAATGTTGTAAGCCGTCCAGAGATGGAAGTAATGGATGGCATACAAATTTTATAAATAATTAAATAAATATTCCTAGTTGCAACATTAGTACAATGGTGCAATGGTTGCCACACTCTTTTGCATCTCCTTTCTTGGGTATTAGAATGTATATTAAAAATTTCCAGTCTGTGGGCCATTGATTTGTTGGCATATTTTTCTTAGGATTTGGACAGATGC